GACCAGGTGATGTTTTGTCCTATTGTCCTTAGGGTCGCCGTGAATTACCACCAACGTGACAACACTAAAACCAGCAACAATCTGAGACAAGAGTACAGACTAAGCGAGGTGGTCTGGTAGGCTCTATTGAGAAGTTCCTATTTGAACAGAGACATAAAGAACATGGGGGTGAGCTGTCAGGATATTTTTGGGAAGGATAGTCCAGGAAGAGGGGGAAGGTGCTATCCAGGCTCTGAGGTGTGCCTGCGCCTGGCATTTTAAAGGACTAGCAAGGAGGCCAGGGTAGCGAGAGCAGTTGGGTGAGCGGTCGAGCATGAGCAGTATGGGGTTGGACAGAACGCGACCTTGGATGCCATGTAGAGAACCTTTGCTCTTCCTTTGAGAGGAATGTGGACATTCTAGAGTGGTCCGAGCAGAAGAGTGACTGATATGGTTTACATTTTTATAGGCTCCTTCTGGTGGCAGAGGAGATGAGGGCGGGAGAGCAGGAGACCACTGCCATAATCCAGGGGAAAGACAGGTCAAAGGTGGCAGCAGTGCAGTGGTGGGCACTGGAAATCTATTTTGAAGGCAGAGTCAAAGTAGTTTGCTTGCGTGTGGAGTGTGAGAGAAAGAGGGGCATCGAGCATGGCCCCCCGGCTTTCAGCCTGAGCAACTAAACAAGTAGAGTTACTGCTACCTGAGAGAGCAAGATTACGAGTGGACCAGTTAAGAGAGGGTGATCTGGATCTCAGTATGAGCACTAGGGGTAAGCATTTCAAAATTAAAAACATCTCATTATTAGGAAATGAATTGTTAACTTTAAAGATAACGGCATGTGATTCAAATTGGAATACACACCTGTGAGGGGAGAGTTACTCCTTCCCATCTCACCTTCTACCGGAATGTGTAATACGCTTTCAAACAGGCAGGATTTGCTTAGTGCTTCATGCTTATCTCCTCTTGACATCATTCATCCGTCTTCCATCATGGACCTTTGACTCATGCAGTAGCACTGTGTCTTGGTAGGCAAATTCATGTTGCTTTTGCTCCTGTGGCTGCCTGTCAGTAGGCCCATTTTTTGCACCCGTTATCAGTGTATCTGAAATTTGAATGAGAGGCTACCTCCAATCTCTGATTCTAGGGGACCCTGGCTTTGGGGTGGAAAACTCTTGTTAGATCAGAGGACGTGCTGCTGAGTGTTGTGGCAGCATGGCACGAGAAGGAGTCCCCATTTAAAAGGATTAGCCCAGAAATCTCCACTACATTTATGAATAAAAAGTCTCCGGAGGCAGGCATAATGATTTTTAACTTCTCCCAAACCAACTTTTGCTTTCCTTTCTTTATGATTTTACTATTCTGTTGGTTGCTGCTTCAGAAAAAAACAATGGTGTGACATTGTTGTTAGATCTTGTCTCATTTCCCAAAGGGGAGGAGAGAAAATCCAGATGAACATCAGCCTACTGTGGATTCGAAGTGGGGGTCAGACATAGCTCCTCTGTCAACCATTTCCCCACTTCTGGCACTCGCTGTCCCTCCTTCCACATTCTCTACTTCAGTGCTGGGTTTGAGAATTCCCTGTGGTGGTCACATAGAACACACAGACTATACTTACAGTTATGGGGTATATTCGAGAGGTATAACAGGATATAATTCAAGATCAAGAATTGCTCGAGATACAGTTCTTTAATCAGGACAGTTTTCCTAGCTGTGCCTGCAGGCTTGCCTCTGCCCCATGCCTTTGGGCTGCGACCTCCGCACTCAAGCCCTGAACATGACCTGGGGCAAGGCTTACAAAGCTCTTTGGCTGCTCCAGTAAGTGCCTAGTCCGGCGCAAAGCCTGAAAGTGTTCTTGGTGCAGGGCCTCTTACTTGTTCGATGATAGGAATTTCTAACCTCGCTTTTGGAATGTTGATATGGGTCTTTTCTTTCTTACATGTTATTATCATTTTATCCTTAGCACCTTATTTTGCTTTTGGTTTGTACTCTTTCTGTTGGGTTTCTCACTTTGTGACCCACAGGAGGCATGCATGATAGTGACAATAACTGATCCAGGGCTTGATAGGGGTGCAGGGGTGGGGAGTGGGTGGGAAGGGCATCTCAGGAATAGAAAATGAAGGCAGGAGGTGGGTGGGAGCACTAGAACTCACTGTGAGTGCACAACTCAGTTTAAAGGTGATTTAACCATGGGGAGGGGGGGCAGCAGAATGTTCTAAAATTGATGTGGTAATGATTGTACAATTCTCATGGATATGATTGAACAATTATTGAATTGTGTGATATATAAGTTAGGTATCAATAAAACTGTACAAAAAGAAAAAAGCAGTTACCAAAAATTATACGGACCATGTAACCCAGTCATGGGATGTAGCCATGGGTGCCAGCTATGGGGCCCAGCCACTGCTTCCCCTGAAGGAAGGCACCTCAGTAGTTCTCCAGTTTATTTTTAAGATTTCCAAAGACTGCCCCCAAAGAGCAAATCCTATAGTGTGTGGTTCTACTTGACACACAGGTTATGGTTTATTGGTCAACACTAAAAACCTGGATGAATAGATGACACCTTCATACATTCTGGTGCTGTCTGCCCCGTGAAGATGTACAGTTTCACTGCAAGTAGGGCCACTGTGACTTTGAATCCCCTGATGGTCGTGGGTCTTGTTCACATGAGATGTCAACACAAAAAAGCTAGCTAGTGAGTAGTACTCATGGCTTAACTACATTCCTACAAGCAAGAAAACAGTACTTTGTGTTTGCACAGGATCAATAAAAATATATAACAAAACTGTAATAACAGTGTGGAGTAATTGAACTTGAATTTTTTGGTTCACTTTTTTATACTAAACACAGACTTCATTAATAATGGGGAGAAAATATATATTATAATGAATTTTAGTAAAATTTATATAATACCATCTGAAAAGTATATATGTGCATAGGAAATACATTCTGAAAGATGTACGCTAAAGCTTTGACATCGATTAATAATAGGATAATATAACATCATTAATGATTTTTCTTTTCTTTTTTTGTTCAAGAGTATTCATATCTTCTCATTTTTAGCAAATAACAAATATCGCCAGGGTAATTTTAAAAGAATAATAGATTAAAAGAAAAGTACACCTGGCAGTCAGTAAACCTACATTCATTGTATTAACCGTTTCAGACCGTGAGGCTGGGCTGCAGGGTCAGTGCAGAGTGTAGTGGCCTGGGCAGACATTCTTCTTCCTGTTTTGGAAAACTACAACCTCGGACTCCTCACTGTAACATTTCATTAGCCAGTTGTTCTTGCTATGAAAGCACGTGGAAAATTAGGACAAGAGATGGGGAAGAATTGCAGTCACTGACCTGGCTGGCCCCTGATTCCAAGAAGTTTTCACCCTTTGTCAGCAGGAGCCCTGGTGGTGCAGGGGTTATGCGCTGGGTTGCCATCCACAGGGTCTGCAATATGAAACCGCCAGCTGCTCCTCAGGAGAAAGATGGGGCTTTCTACACCTGTCAAGAATTTACAGCCTTGCGAACCCACAGGGGTAGTTGTAGTCTGCCTTAAGGAGTCTCCAGGAGTCAGAATTGACTCAATAGCCGAGAGTGTGATTCTTACAGGAGGAGTTTAAAAATTGCATCCATATTCGCAGAACCTTTTTTCCCACTCTAAGATGTTAACATTCCATCACCTTTTTTGAATCACCCATTGTTATTGGAGATGGTTATTGTTTCTTTGACACCTCTTGGATATTTGATAGACTCTATTGTTTCTGAGGTTAAAGAGTACGAAGGTGTGGATGTAACCAGCATAAAGCCCAAGACTCTTTAATGTTGTTTTAGACACCTAATAGCAGGCAGTGGAGCTGTAAAAACAGTGCTACAGCCATTTTATGGTGAGTGTTTTCAAGTGTCAATAGGCAGTGTTATACAAGGGGGTACCCCCCAAAAACCAGAATTTCCCCCCCAAAGGTATGTATTTTAATTTATTTGTTTTAACAAAACAACCTTATCACCTTCAAATCACTCTCCATTACCCTAACACACTTGTCAAATCTGCGATTCCATTCTTGAAAACATTTTTCAAACTCATCTGGCTGACACCTTCCTCTTTTTTTTTTCCTGCGCTCTAACATGTTGTCAAATTGCTGCCCTTTCATGCCCCTCTGCATTTGCTGAAACCAAAAGAAGCTTCACAGAGCAAGGTCGGGTGAGTCAGGTGCACGGGGCAAGAAGAGTGTGTTGTTTTTTGCCCAAAACTGACACATTGAGATGGCTGCATGAGCAGGTGCATTGTTGTGGTGACAAAACCAGTCCCCCATCTGCCACAAATCAGGCCTTTTATGTAATATACTATTATACAATCTTTTCAGAAGATCTAAATAAAAAACTTTATTCATAGCCTTACCTGGTAGAACGAACTTCAAATGTACCATGAGCTGACATTTTCATCCTTTCCAGAAGTTGATGGTCATCGAGAATGAAGTTTGTCATCAATCGACATTTCACCTTTCTTGAAATGAGAAAACCACTTGTCCACTTGAGTTTTTCCTTTAGCACTGTCCTTGTAAGCTGTGTTCAACATCACAACAGTTTCTGTGGCATTTTTGCTGAGCAGGAAACAAAATTTCACAGCTGCATGCTGTTTTCTTAAATCAGCCATCACAAAACATGATGTTCGAGTGAAACTGCTTTCATGAAAAATTCACTGTATACCAAAACCTTAAAAAAAAAATAAATAAAAGTATGTTTATACAAAAAAAAAGAAAAAAAAGAAAAAATTCACTGTGATCAGAGAGAACCTTCCTAGGTGACGCCACTGGATGCACTGACTCAGAGCGAGTTGCTGGATGCTCACCTAGTGGGGAAAAGGTGGACCAGGAAAGTTCTTCTCTGCCTAGTGCAATTCTGTTTTTTTGGGGGGTACACCCTTGTGTATCAAAATGTAGGTAATGTCAGTAATGTTGTATCAAGTACTGTGACTTGGGAAATGGTTTTGGGTGAAATAATTCATTGCTGTGATTTTATTTTGTTGTTTCAAGGGAGTGAAAAAGATAGATCCTCAATTATATGAAAAATTTATCAGTCACAAATTTGGAGAAGAAATGTTACACCGCATAGATCTTTGTTCCATGGAGAAGGAAAAACAAAGCAATGGTTATTATCACTGTGAGTCTTCAATTGAGATTGGTGAGTGGCACTTAAAAATATTACATGTTACCTTTCATTTTGTGATTTTTTCAGAATTCCTTCATTTTTGCAAATCGATGTTTGGTACATGTTTTTCAAAAATGGGATGTATGTGTTTCCCTCAGCGATCTATTTCCTGATTATTACATTTTGATGACAATGTACTTAAGGTTTTATAGACCATGGTGAGTATTTTACTTCTCAGTCAAGACTTCAGTGCCTATCGTTTGCATACTTCTGTGTTTTATGTTAATTTTAAGGAAAGTTTGAAGTGTTGATTCAAGAGTCCTTTCCGTTTAATTATGTTTCATGCATATGGAAAAAGCATTTTCTCTAGGAAGGCCATTGCATGTGCCTGGCCACACCAGGCATTGGCGCATTGGCTGCTTCCAGGGAGGACTAGAACGAGCCAGGACAGAGAACTGCACCATGAGAAGCTGAAGCGCAGGCGGCCTTTGAGGACTGACGACTCACCCCCAGTGTCTTCCCGAAGGAAAACACGTTTCAAGGGGAAGCAAAGACTCACACGCAAATACTTTACCGTCTTATCCGGAAGATGGCATGGGATGAGAGAAACTCACCCACGCTTTAAATTTCCAAGGGGAACATGCATTTAAAATGAGCCTGCTCTGCTGTAATTTGAATTTATAATTTCAAACTAGACCGTATTCCTATAAAATGGTAAACTTCATGACAACGGATTTGTGAACTTAGAAAGTGACATGAAAGTACTCAAAGAAAATAAATATATTTGTTAAAATATTTGGAGGTCAACCAAGATGATTTTTCTTTTCATCAGCTTGAAGAAAATCTGTGGGGAAAAAGAAACAAGAAATCCTAGTAACTGAAGTTTATTGAAGCGTTTAAAAAATACTCAGAAGGCACAATTTTGTTTCCAATGGCTGGTAGAGCTCTTCAGAGATTTTATTTAAAAGTGTTTTACCTTCCAAGATCTTAGCTATCCTAAACAGAAGACTTTCAGTATGTTGTTTGAATTTTATCTTCTAAAACATTTCCAATCTGTTTCAAAGAAGATTTTTTTATGTTTTCACAATCTCTGCAAGAGCTGTCGTCCATCCAAATTTTTATTTTATTAAAAAATTTTTTTTAATTTTAATTTTTTTTCTTCCATCCAAATTTTGAGGAAGACTAAATGATTCTGCTTAGGTTCATTGAAATGGGCAAATTTAGATCTTTCTTGTGTAATGCAGACTTTGGCCAGCTTTGCACATGCTCTCTGAAATGACTTTCGGCTAACTTCCAAGGTTGAATGTAGTACTTCCTTGCCTCTCCTACTTTTATTTGTTAAAAAAGACAAAAACATAATAATGCAATCCCATCAATGCCAAATCAAATTCATTGTATCGAACTGATTCCAACTCAAGGCCCCCTTGAGTAGGTTTTTGACTAAATCTTTATGTGGACAGACAGCCTCCTCTTTCTCTTGCAGAGCGGCTGGTGGGTTTGAAGCACTGACCTAGAGGTTAGCATTTTATGGCTAACCCACAGCACCACTGGGCCTCCTTAAAATAGAGTAATACTTGTAAATATATTGAAGCTATTATGGGAAAGAGTATACACGTTATTATAATTTATCATCTTAATTGCTGTTGGTTAACTGGCTAACTCTCCCCAAATCACTGATCTCGCCACTGCGTTCCCTCTTTTTGTGCCCTTTTCTAGCTTACTTGCTACAATTCTCTCTATTCTAGGCAATTTCTCAAGGTCTTTCCTCCAGGTGATGTATATCTCGCACCCTTTTATAGTTCAGAAGAATTAAACATCTTTCAAACCCATCCCAATCTTGTATCTACATTGACATCATTTAACATAAAAATTTTTTTTGCCTATTAGGAATATTTCTTTTTCGGTCACACTAAAGACTTTAAAATAATATCCATATCTAAAATGTTAACACTTTTAATGAGCATTCTGTTATTTACTTCTGGATAGTCACTAACTCTTTAAATCACTTCCGAATTTTGTAACGGAATAATATGTAGAATCTGTAATACTTTCTTAGAGAGATATAGTTTTCATTTCTTGCCTTGATTTAATTGGCTTTATTTGATTTGAGCCTGACTCACATTTAGTGTCTGCTTCCTGCACCTTGTACTCAGTGTTTTATTGTGTGCATTAATCGAGTGAGCAGGCTTTAGACTCTAGGATCTTTCGTGTTCGAGCTTGTTTACCAAGCTTTGCCTGGAACTACATGTACACGTTTTTCTGGCTTCCATAGCTTTCATCAGGTTTTTATGTTTCCTTTCTCTTAATTTGTTGTAAGTGCAGCGTGAAAGGGCACTGGATCCTACAACACTGGTTTTCTGTTCAGCTCTCTGTGTGATGTTGCTTGATGTTACCGGTAGGTGGCATCCCGTCAGCTCTGGCTCATAGTGACCCTGTGTTTAACAGAGCGGACTGCTGTGTGCTCCCGCACCATCTTCCCGCACCATCTTCACAATTGCTCGATGTTTCTGCCCGTTTTTGCAGCAACTGTGTCAGTGCATCTTGTGCAGCGTCTTCCCTTTTTTGACAGACAGGGACTGGGTTCTCCTGATAACATGTCCAGAACGTGTTAGACGACCTCACCATCCTCACGATTGAGGAGCATTCTGTCTGTGCTTTCTCCAAGACAGATTGTTTGTTCCGGAAGTCCTTGATACATTCAACACCATAATTACCATCAGTTCTTCTCATGTCTTCCTGAATCCTTATTCAACGTCCACATGCACATGAGACGCTTGGAAATAGCATGGCATTAAGGTACACCTTAGTCCTCAAAGTGATAGCTCTGCTTCCTAACGCTTTAAAAAGTCTTGTGCAGCAGGGCTGCCCTCTGCAGTATGCCATTTGGTTCCTTGACTCTGCTTCCCTGCGTGTTCATTGTGAATCCAAGCCATCCCCTGACAACGTCAACCTTTTCTCCTTTAATCATGATGTTGTCTGTTGATTTGGTTGTGAAGATTTTGGTTTTCTTTACACTGACTTGAGATCCTTACTGAAGCTATGCCTTTAATCTTCATTAGTATATGTTTACATAAGATATTAAAAACAATGACAGTATGCTTAATTTCCAAGATTTTAATTACTTTTTTGCCACATTTTTCGGTTTTACTTTATGCTTCAGAGATAACCATTCCTTTACTGACATCTGTGACATTTTAATAGAGTTAATTTAAAGTTATTTTCATATTATTTTAAAACTTCTAATTGTTTGGGTTTTAATTAGTCTATTTGTTCAGTTTTGCTATTATGTGAGTTTCTTCCTCCTAATTCGTACCCGTGTGTGATTTTGCTGTTGCCTTGGCCCTGGTCCCACAGGGTGCTGTTAATCATTGGGCTCTGAGCTGGTAGAGCTAGGTGCCATCTTACTCCCAAAGAGTCCATTCTGTTGGTTTCTACCCCTAACCTGGGAGTGAGCACATTTGTCTTTTGTCTGCCATATTGGCTTCCAATATTTTTCATGGTTTTGTTTGTATTAAATTTTCGATATACATATTTTTATATGAAATGTTTAACATTTTTATTGTACCATTTAAAAATTTCCCTCTCAATTTAAACTACCATGATAATTTTTCTTCTTATAATAAAGCCAAAGATATGACCCATGTTCCCTTATAAAGCCTTCTAGTTTTAAACATTAATATTTATATTTGAGCACTGTTTGGGTGAAAATAAGGTATATGGCTGGCAAAACTAAGACATTTGCTGTCTGGCCCTAAAAGAAAAAGATTTCTGACCTTGATCAGCAGTATTTTCCCAAGAATAAACTTATAAGATGATAGGATATGCTTATTGTCAATTTGCTAGGTTATGCGTTTGTAGGAGTTAACAACTTACTGCTAGTGTTGCCCTGTTCTTCATCCTCCCCACATTAAATGTGTAAAGATATGCCAAAATTTAATTAGTCTTTCCCAACTTTTAATAAGCTTGAGTATTTTTTCATAAGTTTTGGGCAATTTATTGTCTTTTGCCTGTTTTAAAAAGTTTTAAATCAGAAAATTGTTTTTATCTTTGATTTGGAAAAGATTGTGAAGTAATTTGTATGCTACAATTACCATTTTCTGCTCTGTGGTTTATGTTTTCAGTCTTTATTTTTGATTAAGCAAAGTCATTAATTTTAATGTACAATGCACCAGTCTTTATGGTTGAGTTGTTTTCTCTTTCTAGTTTAAGAAATCCTTAAGTTACCTTACAGCCACAAGAATGCTCTTCTACACTATGTTTTAAAAGCATAGCGTACTTTTTCGCAAGTATATTGTTAATCCACTTGGGGTTTGATTTGCGTGTATGTTGGGAGGTGAGTGCCCAGTTTTTCTGTGCATTATAGTTGTCTTGTACCCGTTTACGAAAAAAGAGAGTCAATTCCTCAGGACTGTATTCGGCAGCTCTATCGTATATCACGTGTTTCTGTTTGCGTGGGCTGTTGCTGTGGTTTTATGCCTCTTTCCTGAACCAATACCACCCGGTCTTAGTTTTGATGACTCTACAATTAGGCTGAGGATATGATTTCTGCAGAGACCCTTCATCCTGTTATTGGCCTCTAAGAAAATCCACTCGTCAGTTTCTAAAAAAAATTTGGGATTTCCTCTGGAATTGACTTTGTATGTCAATTTGGGGGCGAATGAACAATTATATAGTAGTGATTTAGAGCTATTCCATGAACACGGTGTTTCTCTAAATTTATTTAGCTCTACTTTAAGGTTTTCAACAACATTCTCTTAGATAGTTTACATAGTCGTACACTTCAGTTTAGAAATGTCATACTACCATAAATGGAATATTTTAAAAACGTATACTTTTAATGGTGTTCCTGATATATTAATAGAAAATCTGTATTTTAATATTTAATTGTAGCCAGAAAATGTGGTAAACTGTCATTAATGATAATAATTCCTCCACAGAGATTTTGTGTTTTCTAATAACAGTAGTTTGATTTCTTTATTTTTAACTTCTTATGTTTATCTCACGGTCTTAGCTGGGCCTTTAGGAGCGTGCTG